CTTGCCACACAGATATAACAAACCCATTTCTAAATTATATGTAACACACCAAAAGGGAGCAAATAGGAAAGGTTCATTGTTAGGCCTCATTTACACAGTGTAGAGTCGGATATGGCGTGCACGGCCATATCGGGCGGGACAGCTGCTGCAGGTGATTGCACGCCTGGGAGGATGCGGCCATACGCACACCCAAGCTGCACATCCGTGCGCGTCCGGGTGTCTGCACAGGGACACAGACAGATTGGATCCTGTCTGCGTCCAAGCACGGACACCCAGACCTGCACGGACGTGCAGTTCGGGTGTACGTTTGTCAGCGTACAGCCACGTCCTCCCATACGGAAGAACAGGCTGCTGCGTGCAATCACATGCAGCACCTGTCCCTCCTAGGAACAGCCCGATACGGCCGTGTACGCCGCACAGATCTGTACGGCCCAACTCTACACTGTGTGAATGAGGCCTTAGGGTTCACTTACACTTTGATATTGTCTTGGTTTAGCTTCTCTTTTAGGAGCCTTGAAACATTTCCTTACTCACTTTTTCTAGTGAGGGTCCAAAATGTGGTTATACAGCAGTCAACACTCGGCTGAATATCAATGATACATTATTCACTTCACAAACAATGAAGCCTGCTATAAGGCCAACTTGTATGAGTCTGAAAACTGAATTGTTTTTCATCCCCTATTGGAATCCTATATTGCCAATATTATAATCACCTCCTCATTGTCAGGAGGATACTCTAGCATGTCAGGCTGATCTTCTTGCTTGTCTTAATACAGGAGTCTTCTTTTCTCTGACATAAATGTGGTGATATTGTTTATTCTTATTCTTACAAAATAATGTTGTAGGATTCTTGAAGAAACTCAGCTTTCAACAGATACCCCTTATCAGCTGCCATGTCCTGGCCTAAAATGAGGACATCCTCCTCCCTTCTTTGCTGCTCTGATGCATAATTTAGTCATTATGAGGTTCTTCATGTGGCAATGTTTCAGATTAACGCATTCAAGAAAAGACTGTTCTGTCTTTGCAAGGACAGTAGAGCATTTTTAGAGGCATCTACTCTACTCTAGAGAATCTACAAAAGTGGGCACAGGGTCTCCTGGCAATTGCTTAGCCCTCTGTATTTTTTAAGAATTTCTGCACCGCTAATTTAACAACGCAGACCTCTCTTCCTCTCCCTGGTTCCTCCCTCTGATCTCCACATCACTACTGTGTCTTGTAGTGTCAGTTTCCCAGCAGATTTTGTAAGACATTTCCTCACTAATGGAGTGCTTTTCGGTGACACAGGATGCAGAAAAGGTTATTGCAATCTTGTTTTCAGGTAGCAGCTTAATTTTGAACTTTAAATTGGCCACAGGGTCACTTAGACAATTTAACACATAGGCTGTGAAAGGCAAGTACTATCCCTGACCAAGACTGCTGCCTTAAATGTTAAGAAGTCTAAGGGGAATAACATGACAATGGCAACATAAGCCTTTAGCACAGGGACAGGGACAGTCAGAGAACTATAGCGGTGGCTCAGTATCTTCCATTAGGGCTGAACACCACCCTCAATCACTCTTAAACAGTAGCTTAAATGGGAAACCTGGTATTGTAAAGCATGCATTACCAGCTTTTTGGCCAGAGAATTTAGTTGGTGGGGAATAGCAATATTGGGTGAGCATCTCTCTTCCTGGTCAAGAATATCCACAATTAATCAACACAAGGGTTCAAGCTCAAAGTGTCAGGGTTATCTACCTGCAATACTAAGACAAACTAGCAACTGGGCCAAAAATGTCAGGCAATTTGTGACTGGCATTTGAGAAGAAGTTTAGAAATAGCAGCACTTCCTTGCTACTAATGGTGATACCTGCCCTAGGGCCCCAACATGATTGTGGGTAGAGGTGGTACTCGAATGTAGTTGTCTGCCACTTCCACACTTGATTCTAGATGACAATGCCATTGTTAAACAATTACCTGCTCACTAGAAATGACAGTCATGACTCATATAATGTTATTTTAATGTAACTGATAGTGTGTAGAGAGATTGAGTGCCTGATTGACTAAGATACTTTAACTCACAAGACAATTCTTACAATGCCGCCAAAGGATGATAATTTTACGAGACGTAAAAGTAAAAAAATGTATGTGTACAGGAAGAGGGCATTTACGTTTGTTTTAGAACTCTGTTGTAAAAATCCACAAACACGACTGGCATCCGTCAGCCTCCGATAAACGTAAACTTGACTGTCTGAGCACTTGAGACATTTAATGAAGAAAACTGCCTGAAAATGTATTGACCATGCAATCTTCAAGTCAAAACATAAATAAGTAGGTTGAATTGTCCACTTATTTCAGTGTATAGTCTTTGGGAAGTACACACATGGGCAATATTTCAACTAGTATCAGCAATTTTACAAGTAAATCTTCGAATACAATATTCTTTACTGCCAATGGTTGTTACAACACATATAGGACAAGCAGCCAGCTAACCCCAATCTCCTAGCTCTGTCATTTATTTCAATTGTACTCCCTAAGTCACTAAAGTGACCCTCAGAGTGGTCCGGCTTAACTGATCCTTGCCTGGCATGACAAAAATATATTTTTTGTCTTTTTGTGCAATTATGGCCCACAGATTGAAAGTGAGAATAATTATTGATGAACTGCAGTAAACAATGACAAACAGCAAATGAACTGCATCAGCGGCTATGATGAATGATGATAATTCTAAAGTTATAGTAGTAAGAGAGACAAGCATTGTGGCTGGTAATTGCCCTGCACAGGAAGGAGGTGTTGACTGAGAAAGGCTGGCCTGGAACAGAGAAAGATAGAGGGGATGCATGGCAGCATTAAACTGGAAATGGTGCAAGCAGATTTGGCACGAACCGCCAAAAGGTCTGCGGTTATCCAGGCTAATCGGTGTGATCTGGGATGAATCCTGGTTTACCTAATTCTTTAAGCAATTTTCTGAATGGTTGATGCCATAGTGTAAACATTGTCTTTAAAGGTATTTGGATCTTACAAATTTTACTTGCAAAAGATAATGAAAAAATGAGTTCCCTTATCATACCAAAAGTCTAGTCAACAGTGATAATGCTACACATTATCCAGTGCTAACTCTAGACATGTTTTAGGTTTAATGGAGAGAGTGCAGTTGACATAATGTTAAGATGTACTTGAAATGTTATTGATGCATTACACAATTAAATATTAAAATTGTAAGAGTGGTGATATAAAAGGGGATGGAGAATTCCCAGCCTTTGACAGAAACCATGGCTAGGCTCCATATGAACAAATTGGTAAATGATGTTTCAGGTTTAGCCTAACTTTAGCATTGTGTGTCATTGACATCTAAAAGAGAGTAACCAAAGAAATGGCATTGCGCTATTACACCACATCCACCCTAATACCCCATAAGAAGTCAGTCTCCAGCTATTCTGTGCGCTGCTGAGGATGGTAATCCTGACTTTATTGGCTTATTGTATATAATAACTGCATTGAGTTTGGCCTGGGTCAAGTCATTCGCTGAAATCCCCTGGTCTTAACAACAAATTACCCCAATTCCTTCTAAACTCACTCATTCAAGAGCAAAATCCTTTAACTAGCATAGCTGTTCGCATTGCCTGGCACTTTGTCTCACTGCCAATTGCCATGATCACCCAGATTGAGTCTGGCTTATGTCCATGCTTGTATTTAGAGGAGAAGAGGACATTAATATATTATAGTACTGTATGTACTTCAACACATAATTAATATGTAATGTAGAGGTATAATGAGGTTACTGTAGATGCTTCTTTTTCATCCTCTTTAGACTTATCACTAGTCCGGCACGCAAAGGGTGAGCCGTTTTAGTGAGCTATTTTTAGCAAACTGTTGCTAGTGTGTGTGTGTGTGTGTGTGTGTGTGTGTGTGTATCTATTGTAGGTGTGCATGCAATATGTTTGTGTGTCGGTGTCTATCTACGAATTTGGGTGCATTGTGTGTATCCACATATTTTTTATATGTGTGATAGTGTGTGTCTGTGAGTGTGCAAGTTGAGTACATGTGTCCAGAAATGTGTGTGGGTCTGTCCATGAGTGAAGGTGGGGGGTTGTGTGTGTCACCTCTATGTAAAAGGGAGAAAGAAGAGAAAGAAAGAAAATGGGTTTGTGTAGGTAGTGAGTGCATGACTATAAGTGAGTGACTGGTAGCAAGAAAATATGTGTATTTGTGTGTGTGTGTTCCAGGATGTGTCTGTTTTTAAGAACAATGAGATGTTCATTCCAGTTGGTAAAATTATGAATGCAACTGTGCAGCCACTAATTACCTAGTGTAGTGTAAGTAATAACATAGCAGCTATAGTTATTACGTTTATTAAGCCCGCAGTCGTACCAAGGGTTATCTGTCTGAACAATAGATTCAGTTTTAGCTTTACACAACATCCTGTGTAATTAAGAAACTTAATTAGGCTGCAGTTGTTATTATGCAAATATGCGAGTCACAGAATTCCACCAAGTATCACAGATTTGTATACAGCAAATAGTGAAACCTCGTATTAGCGTTCTTATTATTAGCCGATCATCATGGCACCAGCTAGCTCTAATGAGAAAATTGCCTATTACACAGTGTCTGTGAAGCTTCTCATTTATCCAAATCATGGTACAGCTAGTTGTAGTTAGTCACATTCAGCTGGACTTGTTTTGTAATGCTGAAGATGTTTTTCAACTCATTCATGTAGCTTATTTCACCGAAAAGAGTATCAAATACATACTCCAACATTGCTGGCCACACATCTGCCTGGACACATTTCATGGTGATTGGATTATGGTGATGGAGTTACTTGTGTGGCTAGAAATGCTGGGGTATGTTCCTGACACTTACTTGAGATGAGGAAGATACTTGGGTGAGTGGTCAAATGTCTTCAGCATTACAGAACAAGTCCAATTGAATGTTGCTAACTACTACAATCCCTGTTATACAGTGTTTGCCTCTGTCACCTATGAGCTAAGGCTAAGCCAGTACTGTTTAGAAAAATGTCCTCCTACCTGAATTCCCGTGCAAGGTTTGGCTTAAGCCCATAAAATGCAGTAGAGAGTGTTAAGAGCCAGTTGGGTTTGTACTTCCCTTGGTCACATTCTAGAAAAGGAGCGGACCACTTGACGTGACTTTTGTCTGTGATGTAGCTGGTTCCCTTCCTCCAGCTTTCCTCCAAAGTTTTAGCACCATTGGTGGACCTCTTGTGATGGTGAGGCCTCTGCTTGTGTCTGAAGGTGTGGAACCAGTCAGTTTCCTGGCTGGCATTGGCCAAGTGGTGAGTTGAGGAGGACAAGTCTTCCAGTAGGATCTTGTCCTCCACTCTGGTAGCTTGCAGAAACACCTGTGGTACATGGGAATGTGGCTCCACGTTGACAGTGATGGAACACCTCAGGATGCCGGGCTCTCCTTCTAAAACACTCCTGATCAGCGCCATGTACCACTCCAGGTCCCTGTGGGCAGGGTGCTCCTTTGAATTATTGCTCTGCAACATCATGTTTAAAAAGTTGGTCGAATGGACCAGCAGTTCCACGGAGCTGTTCAGCGACTGATGGGTCATTTTGGGAGAAAGCCCCGACAAGCTGCTCAGCTCGTACCTTTTGGAGCAGTTGGCACGCCTGAGTTCATTGGAGTCTCCAGTGTAGAGGAAGGAGGCGACGTGCTTCGGCAGATCCTCAGCCAGGCTGGGCACCGCGCCGCCGCCACTGCTGCTTTCGGTGGTCCTGATCCACAGCGCCGCGCGCTCCATGCTGTAGATAGGCTGGTGCTGATCCCGGCTCTTCTTCAGCACTTCTTGGTGAGCCGCACGCCCTTCCGAATCCCAGCTGGACGCCGCCAGCCAACAGGCATTGGCCAGAAGGACTGCCAAAACGGCGAGCGCAGCCATGATCCAAATCCAAATGGAGTTAGTCGCTGATGACCATCGGGGGGTTTCTAATATCCTCGTCCTTGCATACGGAAGCTATCACCTGTAGTCACCGGGAAAAAAAGCGGAGAGAGATAAAGCTCCAGTCTTCCCTCCCAGCAGGTTTCCAGTTGGAATTACGCAGACAGGCTCCTTGATCTGAGCAGGTTACATCCCATGTAGCACACAAGCTATAGTTAGACTGCTTACGTCTGTATCCCCATCCTCTCATATTCCTGAGGACTTCTCCCTCCAATGTCTGCATCTCCCGGGTAATCCCGATCCGTCACTTCAACCGAAGCAAGACATCACCTCCCTGCGAGGATGCGCCGGGCTCCCGTCCGTTTGCATGGAGGCAGCGATCCTCTACGGCGGCTAATTGACTACTTGGACAAGCTTAAGAAGAAAAAAAAAACCCTCCGCCTTCCTCCGCTTCTGAACGGATTTAACTCCACTTTGCAACAGCCAAACACGTACAGCTCGCAGCCTCCCTCCCACCGGCCTCCAATAGGTATGCCTCAGCCTTCCCCGGGCTGTGTTTGGGCGGCCTCTATGTCAATCATTGCACAGCCATTTGTAAAGGGAGGAAGAAAGGTGGAAGGAGCTGTCCAGTGCTGAACCTCGGGCTCGCTGGTGCTGCGCTACTGCTGATGCTGCGCTACTGCCACTGATGCTGCTTCTGCTGCTGCTGCTGCATCCTACACCTTCCCGTCTTTACATTGCTTTGTACTTCATCCTGTTGGCTGTGTTGAGTCACCGATGACATGATTGCATGAGGACCAGTCATACATTTGTCACTGTACTATTGGTATTTCATTGCTGGTGTAAATGGAAGAATGACCCATAGCTTAAAGAGGAAACAAAAACAAAAATCGTAACCCTTGCAGTGGGTCTATAGCCCGGCACTGCAAGGGTTGAAGTGATATTAAAGTGACACTAAACTCAGGAGTTAGATCTTAAAAATGCATTCAAGTAACTATTAACAAAAATGCATCTTATTTGTGTATTGCTCGGCTGAAAGGGAAAGGAGCCACCCTAAGGGCTTGTTCACACCAATTAGAGTGCATTACAGCGCGGTTAGCTGCTAGAACGCACTGTATCGCATACTAAATTACCCCCTGCATTCAGGGGCGTGGTGTTGTATTCAAGTTAATGGCAATGCAGCCATGCCCCTTGCAGTTTTGCCTGTACCAAAACGTGTGGCACGTTTGCGAGCACCAGTGTGCTCGCAAAAAATAGATTGCTGTGCCACGCGTTCTGGTCTGTGCGATTACACTGTGGGCGGGAGGGCGGGGGCGTGGCTGCGGTGACTGACTTGAATGGCCGAAGCAGGGGGGGTTTAGTATGCAATACAGTGCATTCCAGCAGCTAACCATGCTGGAATGCACTGTATATGGTGTGAAACAAGCCCTCAGGGCCTATTCACACCACATTCAGATCATCTTCAACACCAGACCATATTTTTTTTGACCCAAAATGCATCCTAATGTAGCCCTATGTTATTTCTGGCCTCTGTTCACACCAGCGCAGTCTGTTCCAGACCAGGAAAATACTGCATGCCTCATTTTGTCTGGTCTGGAACGCATAGAAATGCATCAAAAACGCATAAAAAATGCATGGAATGCACTGGAACGCACTGGACTGCAATTGAAAGCCCATTTTAAGCTATAAAAATGGGGCCTGGGGGTGGAAGGGGGCCCCATTAGGTTGTTGGGGCAAATTAAACATAGAACGTGTGAAGATAAAACAGTACTGTATCATTAAGTGTTGGAGTTAAAGCCTACAGTGTAGAAACAACTTAAGATACACAAGAGGAGTCTTTGGTATCTTGACATCGTTACTCACAGCTCTGAGAGAGGTCATCAGCAGGGGGGCTACATCACATTTTTGCTATGGGGCCCCATGGTCTGTAGTTACAGCCCTGCCTGTAATCCGGAGATTAAGTAACTTCCATGTGCATGCATCTGAGTGATGTCATTGGGGCCCAGCCAATCAAGCAGCCGAAGATTCAAAACCCAGAAAAAGACCGGGACAAAGACGGAAGTCCCGGTGAGGGAGGAGCACAGTGCTGGAGGGGATCACTTTAGCAGGTAAATCTTCCATACTGTGTTAATATGCTGTGCATACTATCACATTATAACTTAAAGGAGAACTATGGGGTTAAGGCTTTTCCCCATAGTTCTCCTTAGGGTAATGAGAGTACACAAACTAGCGTCCTCCCGTCACCCTAGGCTCAGTATACCGCGAGCTATAGCTCGCGGTATACTGAGACGCCGCAGCTGAATCGGATCCCGACAATTGTGCCGGGATCCGCCCAGCTGCGTGACTGACAGCTGGCTCTGCCTATCTAGAGGCAGAGCCAGCTGTAACCACCCCCTCCCCCATCCGTTCCGCCAGTCAGTGCTGGCGGAGCGGGGATGGGGGAATCCAGCCCCTCTCCTGTCACGGCAGAGAGCCATGACAGGATCGAGAGGTGAGCGAACGCCGGTATGTGTTCGCTTACCTCCCGATCTACTGAGCCGACCTGTGACAGTCTCATTGTCACAGGTCGGCTAGAACTATGAGGTGAGTGAAAAGCACTCACCTCATAGTTCTCCCTTAAAGCTCCTGGATTTTTTAAAGTCACTTTTCTTCCGCTTTAACTGCTCCTTTTTGTCTAGCTGACTTGTGTGAAGGACTTTAACTTACCTGATCCCCGCTCCTGCTGACTTAAGGACCGACATCTGCAGTCTTTTCCCTCAACTCTGTTCTGGCGCTCAAAGGCTTGCTGATATCATTGCATACAATGCAGGGCCTATAGCTCTGGACCTACAGACCTGGAGCTGGGGGAATAGCCTGTAGGAACCTGACCATTGCACCCACGATCAACAGATTGCAATTGCAATGCTTTGCAGGCTCAAGTGCCAAAAAAAAAATAGATGCACACAGACCTTGGTGCCAAGATGAAACAACTCCTGTGTTTGTGTTTGTGGGACTTACGTCATCCCAGGCTAGCCAATCAAGATGGCCAAAGAGGCCAAACCCAGACACAGACTAGGAGAAGATGGCAGTGCCAGCGAGGAAACTTGCAGCCTTCCCATTACTGGAGGGAAGGTGAGTATTGGTGAGTTTATTTCTGCTTTAACTTATTTTTTCAATAAGGCAAAGTTAAAAAGTCCAGAAGCCCATAATAACCAATTAGAATACACGGACTAGTCAACTGCAATCTTATTGGTTATTATAGGCACCAGTAATTTTCATGTGGATTTTGCTTGTTGCACTAATTTCTTCTTTAAAGTGAATCTATTAGGATAGAAAGATGGGAGATGCCATTGCTGACCTGTTCTAAGAATGGAAGAGAAGGCAGCACTCAGCACTACATAAAAGGGATTTTTTTCTAGTAAGCTTTGATTGCATTATCAAAAACAAGTCTAATATGTTTTCCTATTACAATGCTGATGTTATAACAGGAGAGGATATGCTGGGACTTTACAACTCCTTTAAGAAAGAATTTATTCCCAAAGATGTGCTGCATCTCTTCTAGAAATGACCACAGGAAAGCATAGAAAAAGTAGACTCCAGCTACCACTGAACTTCCATGCCTGCTACGGCTGTAAGCGCTAAAGGTCTGGTAGACCTCAGTGCTGCAATTGCATCTCCACCCCCCTTTCCTCCTGGCCAATCACAAAGCAAACAGCTCCATTTTGAAATTGACCAGGAGGAGAGGGGAAACGGAGATGTGATTGCAGCACTGTGGTCTATCAGTCTGAGACCGCCAGTGCTTACAGCCGAAGCAAGCATGGAAGTTCAGTAGCAGTTGGACCCTCCACCCACATGTGCTATATACTGATGATCTGCAGGGAGAAGGAGCCAGCGCTGATTATGGTAGGTGGCTTTACAGCGAAGTCACGCTACAACTTACTAAACTCAAGTAAGAAATGACCGTATTGTGCCCAGAGTCAGGCTGTAACACAATGCAAAATGTCGCCAACATTGCTGCTGAAATTTTGAAATCTGTTTAGGGATGTTTTTGACCGTGCGCTGCGATCTCTGGTCAGCTTGTGGCGGCCCCTTGAAATATGGAAGCTAACGAGATGCGATGTTCTATTTTCATGTATTACTTTGCTATAAAGCAGCTTTGCATAACATGCCATCTCCACCTAATTAGCATGTACCCTGTTGACAAAGGAGAACAAATTGTAAGTTTTAAAATGAGAATTTTATGTATCTCCCTTGCAGCATGCAATGCGAATTTATATTAATATTTCAAGACAAATCTAATTTATGTGTAATTAGTGGCTCTCATGAGTATATTACAAGTGTCTATTTAGAAAGTGCATACATCTTCCAAATCAAATGATCTGAATATCATTTTACACAATGTACGATTAGATAACCACCATTTGTCATGTTGCTTGATTTGCAGGAAGAGGTGGAACCATCCCTATCAACGGGCGGCAATCGTTAGCGTGTGCTGGAGTAAACAGATAAACAGGGCAATTAAAGAAGCAGTAGGGTGCAATATGATTAGTCAATCTTAGCTGGCTTTTACTGGGGGCAAAATGTTCTTTGCTGACACACTTAATAGACAGACGAAACCCCCCCGTGCATTTCTGCAGCATACTCAAGGATCTCAAACAGCCGCTGGTCAGCTCGCCAGAGCGAAGTGACAAATTGGAGGTGACTTATGAATGATAAACAGAAAATGATGTGGACAGTGCTGGCACCGATTGTTAGTCAGTCATCTGAATTCTGTTAGAGGGAGCTGTGATTAGTAGTTTAGAAGAGGCAATGTAACTTTAAATAATTGGACCCGATATAAAATAATTGTGAAGCTGTCTTTTATGCTTAAAGGAAATACACCTCCTGAGATATGGACCATTCGAAAGC